ATAAAAATATAAAATTAAAGATTAGAAAAAGTGTTTACTGGTGGAACTCACAAGTAGATAATCTAGAGCAATTTCTAGACAACTTCTATTTATAGAGAACATGCAAGCGAAGTTTACTGAGAAAAATGTAAGTGTCTATAATTTCCCAACTGGAAGACACTATAGATCTTATCGATTAATTGTTACCACCGACATGTTCTCTATTACTCAAATCAACATCAAGAAAATGAAGTTGTCAATGCCCCACCTCAACTTGTCGTTTTGCACCTCTTATCCGTTCTCTCCACATATTACGAATGAGAGCCCTTCGCCCTTCAGAAACAGGGTTTTCGGCAGGAAGTGTACAGTAATCAATGACCTATTCGGAAAGGGTGTCAGACAACTATTATATGTATCATAAAATGCTTCAACAATTTTAAATCCAACACACACACACACACACACACACACAAAAAAAAAAACAGATTAGGTAGAAAGTTCATGAAATGGCTCAAGAGCATATACCTCCTCCAATTCTGATAGCTGCTGAACGCGGACCATATTGCTGTATGCACGTTCATAGCTTTCAAGAACCTAGCAAGATGGAAACAGATACGATTTCAAAGCCACCAGAAGTCTGATACATGCTAAGGGTAACATCCATGTAAATCTTGATATGTACATATACATGTAACCATTCAGCTCATTTTAAGCACGCCACATTAAATCAACAACTATATCTCATGAGTTTTGCCACCTATAATTAATGAAGTGTCTTTTTTCTGCTTTGGAAATAAAGCTACTATGAACCCCTGGTAATTAAAAAGTATGGCAACCACATAAGAACCAATTATGCCATAGAGTATAGACAATAGAAGAATATGATACGATAAGACAATATTTTCCAAACAACATGGATAGTACTTCTTCATCTTTTACTTTAACAAACTTATGGATGGAGAAAACTAACCAAAGCAGCCACTTCTGTACACAGGCATTTCCTTGCTCTTTCAACATACTCACGTGCCTCATCATACTAATATTTTAAAAGAAGAAAAGCAATTAGACATATCCTTGTTAAGGAATAAAAACTAGGAGATAAACAGCTAAACCTTTACCTTCCCCCTACGAACTAATAAGACAGCCCTGAAGAAAGTCCCAATACTGCTCCCATCACCTGTAGCAGCAGTATTACCCAAAACTCCAAGCTTGTTTTCATCTCCATCATCCAATCGGTAAACATACTCTGCCATTTGATCCCATTCACCCATGTTCCAAGCAGCACTAGCAGCCTAGATTAACAGATCACACACTTACTAAACAAATAGAGCAAGAATAGATGCCGTAAGAGTAATATCATGAAAAGGGATACAAGTTAAATTGGATTTGATCTATCACAAAGGTAATTAATTGCCTTTTTACTTGAGCAAAATGGATACTAGAACAACTGTTGGGATCTGCTGTTCAGTTTATAATTGTGCCACACAAATTTGAAATGGTATTCAAGACAATCTACAGACTACAAGAACTCCAAGAGGTAGATCAAAGTGAAACATCAAACAAGAGTGACATAATGAGATAAATAGGCACTTTGAAGCCAAAGACAAACCATTGGGGCCATTTCCAGTCTAGCAGCTGGTTCAGCAGGTGCCCAATACTCCTTGCAGAGATTGTTGAGCTCTTCCCATCTAGCAAGTGCAGCAAGGCATCTCATTTGTCCTTGTGCATATAAAAGGAGAGAAAAAAAAAATCAACATAAAAGTGTACAAAGAGTATGGATAGAAAAGAAAGAAAGAGAGAGAAAGAGAAAGAAGAGAAACTACGGATTGCGATTCTCAAGGAAAAGAAATTATAAAGCGGCAATATAAAAAAGTACAGGATAGTTACTGTGAATGAACTTAGATAGTCACTGTCTTACTGTAAATAGACTTAATAGTAGCATAGAATCTACTTTAAAGCATTACACTAGAGTAATCAAGTAGATGAAATAACTCCCCATATGTCCAGAGAAAAGGGGCAGGGAAAGCCAGAATGGAAGAGAATTAACCATCCAGGAAATTTGAAGTATTTCATTTTCAGATAAAAGGATGTGTGGTTTTCTGCTTTGAAAAAATAATCCATTCATCAAATTACAGTGTTAATCAAGATATTCTTCAGTAACTGAATCTGAAACATAGAATGACCGGCACTTCTAGCAATAAATCGTCCTTTCATTTGTAACTAAAACCAGAAAAGGAGCTATCCAATTTGAAACACAATAACATCCACACATAATTTATGGTAATATGCACCTAGTGTTGCTTCCAGAATAAGATGTCGGCTTGATACTTGAGAGGCTTTGACAGTGTAGGCTTTAAGAGCATCATCCCATCTCTGTAGTTTCTCATACCTTGGCAAACACAAGTTCACTTGAGTGACTGAACGTCAGCAGAAATATTATTATTGAGTTGACTTGTTATTTCCTTAACACCACACAATTACCAGATTGCCAATTCTGAAGTTAAATGACATTGGAATTTTGGAACGAAAAGCAATATCATTCAAACTAAACAACCAACAGAAAATTTTGAGAGTTGCGAGGATTAATGTACCATGATTCCTTCAGTTGAACACTCAAATGTTGTTGAGAGTATGTCAATATTCCAACTGCCGCCTGGATAAAAATTACAACTTCCATTGACATTATGAGCTAGTTCGTTTTTTCTTTTTTTCGAAAAAAAAGAAATAAATAAAATAAAGCATACAGAACTTAAACTGCTATAATAAACAACCTCATGTTGGTGCAATTGATTATTGATATGAATAAGAGCTTCGACTACAGCAACAGGGTTGCCATCCATCATATTTGAGCATGCACCTTCAAATTCCATCTCTTTATAGTGCAGAGCCTTTGCAAATGCACGACACTGAAATAAAAGAATAGTGAGAGATTCATATCATATGCCTCACGGAGTGTAGTTGCTATCAGGAAAATCCCACCTTTTCTGCAAGGGCACCCAATAGACGTATATCAATGGGAAGGGGTCTCTCATCGTGCTCCATAAACTCAGCCTGAAAAAATCAGTCTACAAGTTGATTGGCAGAACAACAATAACTTCCTGTACACATTCAGAAGCAAATAATGCACCAAAACATGAGAAGTTCTGTATAGCCCACCTACTCAAGGATCCTTAAGAACTCAAGGATAAGTTTAGTTTCAAATAGCATCCTTAAGAACTCAAGGATAAGTTTTTAACTTTTCAATATTACATCTAGATACTTCGGATTAATTTTAATTACCCAGAAGTCTGCCAAAGACAACAATCAAAGGTAAAGCTCTACATGCGAAAGGATGCAGCGATTAAGTATATACGTAGGTTGTCCTCGCTAGTTTAGACGAGTAACATAGCATTTCATCTTAGCAGTTAACTCTAAAACCCTAGCAAAGTGCTTATTTACCAATAGTATTCACATAAAAATATTCATCTGAATCCGCATGTAATTCATACATACCAAGTTCAAAAGTGTGGCAAGAATTTCAGGAGGTATGTTTGGAGATGAAAATGCCATTTCCAAACTTCGCACTAGCTGCCTTCGGCAAGGCTCGCTCAGCTCTGTCCAGCAACTGACAAAACCAACTGCGAACAACTCCCGTCCAACAAAAGGCTGCAAAAACATAAATAGCATTAAAATTCTTATCACCAAGAATCATTTTTGTTCAATTATGGTTCTCAGCCAAGCTTAGATGAGAACCAAAGAGCATGAGAAGTAACGAAAATTACTTGGAGTTGGGCAAGCTTGGCACATGTTCTCAGCGCAGGTGCAGGTGATTCCTTCAATAGTTCAATGCTAAAATGTCTCATCCACTCTGCCCAGTCCTCTCTCGTACTACGTTGAGAGGCTTCCCCTGCAGAACGTATCCGGCCCTCATTAACCTAAGAAAGTTGTAAAACCAATTAGATTTTCCAAATTATTTGTTAATAAAAATATAAATAAAAAATGATATCATGTCAAATAACACCAACAATAAACAGCTTCCTTCTTGTTGCAGATTCCCAGTGATTACTTCAGAAGAATGGAAAGTTAAACACATAATGCATTTACTTCCATGAAAAAATAAAAGAGAAATACTCGAGCCTTTCTCCTAGTTCAGCATCACTAACAAATTCTAACACGAATGCACTATATTTCCTATGAGACAACTTGACCAACAATGTGACGTTATCATCCCGTATGTACTAAAACTTAAAAAATCAAGTGACTGCACTGATTATCTAGTTATGAACAAAAAATAATATGACATGCCTTATGAGGCTTGTGTGGATCAACTCTACTTTCTGGATCCTCTGTATCATTCAAAGGATCGCTAATAACTTCTCCAGGAAATTCACAAGTTTGTTCCTGAGCAACCGTCACTAAGATCAATGGTGCCCTTCTTCTGATGCGATCTTCAATTTCTTCAAAATCCTTATGCTGGTCAAGAAAGAAAATATGCTTGAAAACCTTAATAAGCCCGAGCACCACCTTTTCACAAACAGTGTATCTAATTGGCGGAAATAAACATATCAACCAATACCCGCATGCAATGTTTTGACAAAAGCTTATGGATGGAAGGGATGAAAATAGTGAAGTCTTCCCCAAAGGCATGACCAAGACAACAAAGTGCATCAACAGCATCCTTCCTGAGTTCATCATTATTCCTGTAAAATTAACGCGTAATTTGAGTAAGAATTTTATTGAAGTTCCAATTCTGTAAGAATTACATCAGGATCCAGGTCTGAGCCTATGCTTAAAGTTGAGGTGAACTCTATTTCTTTCAAGAAAGAGTAAAAAACAATATGAAGTTCTACGGTGCATATTATAACAATATAAAAATGAGAGAAAAATCCAACCCGTCCAAGACAAGCTTCAAGTGATGTACAAGAGCAGATATATGACCTGACACCTGGTTAAATAGAACAAATGGACTAATGTTAACTGAAAAATCAACCATAATAATAATAAAAAAAATAGAAGCTAGAAGATGAAGACTACATTCAACCTGTACACGGGGAATCAACTTAGTAAGAGTTCTAATAGCAGCACGCCGTACTTCTACAGAAGCATCCAACTTAAAGATTCGAATGAGTGCAGGAAGAAGAAGATGCATATGATCATCCAATGTTCCTACAGATTCAGGTCAAAGATTTCTTATATACAGAAAATATATCAAGGTAGTCCTACATAAATGGCTGAAAAAAAAAGATACCCACCGCCAAAAACTTCAAGAGTATGGAGAATGTCAACAACATAAGTGTCTTTAAACCTCTCAGCATCACTTAGTACTTGAATGCAGAATGGAAGAATAAATGGGAGATGTGTTCTAAATTCGTCATTAAGAGCCAAGCAAAGTTGCTCGAGCAGATGGAGAACCTAAAGTTGCAAGTCAGGAAGTTTATAATCAAATATCTAATCATCTTCTAATACAAGAATAAATCCCGTCATTGAGAATATGTGTTTACCGGAGATCCATGGACTGGTCTGTTAGCAGCAGGCAAATTGAATGACGACCATAACTCTGATATTAGAGAGAACAAATCTGGAAGATATTTCCGAATATGCTGCATAAGCAGAAATACGGAAATAATGAGTGTCGAGCTGATTGTTGGAGAGGGAGACAAAGTACATACCTGGCGAACAATAGAAACGAGTGTTCCAAGTTTCCATGTAATATATTCCTTAAGATTATTATCATCACACGAACGAACAGTATGAAGAAGTTCAGGCAGAACCTGATAGGAGCAGTTTCGTTCAAAAATATTATTAGCTTTAACAAGATCACTATGNTCACAATGCTAAATGTAATTTTGAACTTTACATCTTCAATACCATAAAGCATTTGCAGCTTCAAATACCAATATCAAAGCCTAGTTGTTTTAGCATTTAGCCTGTTTTTGTCTTCTCCTCTAACAGTAATCCTTCAGATCTAATCAAAATATTCAATGATGTGATTGGATAAATTTTCCCACTGAAGAATAGTTATGAAAAGTATTTTGAGTTTAGAATGATAAATTTTGTAAAATGTGAAAAGATATAAGATGAAAACTTAATGGTTAAAATTGGTGTGATTTATAAACAGAAAATACTGATTGGTAATCAGGAATGTGTGGCCGTCTACTGAATTTTATAGGGAAGTTCATAGTCATGGTTGATTTTTATTTTAAAACATTATGTGGATAAGATCGACGAGAGAAAAAATGAGATGAGAGAATAGTGTATTTTCTTTAAACTTTTGCATGCAATACTGCTTTCAAGAAGGAAAAAAAAAAATCTCTGGTGGGACGAAAATGAAAATGTTCTGTAACCAAAACACAGTGGTGCATGCAAGCTAAACGAGGCATCTCCAAGATACAAACGGTAAGGTCAGAACATGCAGTTGTTGTTATGGCTTTTGAATAAATCTAAAGAAGAAGCATGCTGAATTATATACAAGAGCAGTAACTTCAAAAGATTTATAACAGTAAAATAAAAAGAAAAATGATACATAACCAACCTATTGTACAGCTAGGTTGACAACACAAGTAGGAAACATCCACTTGTGTATTTTTTTTATTTTTATTTTTATGAATGTTTTTACTTGTGTTGTCAACCTAGTTGTACACTAAGTTGGCAATGCAGCATTTCTCAAATAAAAATACTTAAACAGGGTGTCCTACTTTCCTAAGCATCAAGCCCGTCCATTATACTTCCAATAATTTTAAACTTAATCAGCACACATTCACAAAGCATTTTACACTTAAGCTAGTGAATGCCTTCTAAAGTACAACTTGAGTACATGAATACCTCAAACTTAAGCCAAATATATAGCAAGATACTACCCTTTCAAGAATGAGAGAGAAAAATAGCTCCATATATGGTTGCTCGAGCAAGTAAGAATAGAAGCACAATATTTAGCAAGTGTGGAACATGCACAATTGACTAACCTTGGGTAAGTAAGGAACACAACCAAGATTCATTGCCTAATCTCGCAAAAGAAAGCAGCAGGAGAAGGAACCAAAAAAAGGAGTTAGCATGCATAAATTTCAAATTAAGCACAAAAGTAAAAGAAAGACGACAGATCCATAACACAGTTCTACCAAAAAACACTATGACCATAGTTACAAACATCCATAATCTTACACTAACCTTGAAAATGAATATTAGAGATCCAACCACCTTTTGATGGTAACTAGAAAGTGAAGAATCTCTAAAAATTCGCATCAGACAACTAATAGCAACCTGAAGTAAATAGATGTTAAAGAAAGTTATTAAGCGCGTTCTAATTAGAATCACTTCAGAGTGCTTTAATAACTTTGATTTCTTATTCGGAATCTCACAGTGGAGTAGTAGTCTTCTGATGTCGCGAAGGATGGCCAAAGATCCACAGGTACTTCATCCATTGATGACCTGGTATGCTGACTAGGATCACAAGCTGCGCGAGTAACTTCTCCATGGGAGCCTGGTAAATTCAGTTGATTGCGCTTATGCACGTGTGGATCTAAAGCACCCATTATGCCAAGGACCTAAAATACAGAATGTAAAATATATAATGCCAAGAACATAAAAGACACAAATAATTGGTTAGGCATGAATAATAATACATGTCGAATAAATCTCGAGGAGGCAGCTGAATTAGATACCTTCAAAACTTCACGTCTGGTAGACCATGCCAACTCACCATTAAGCAATTTAAGAAGCAACCCAAGCAGTTGAGGATACTCATTATATGGGGTGATAACATAACTGCAAATCATCCGGATTATTTTAGATTTCATGTTAAAATGGAGGTAAAAACAGTAGGTGTGCCTGTATCAAATTATCAATCACGAACCAGAGCACATTATATTATACTAAATACTTAATGCATTTTTATTATAATAACATAAACAATGAAGTTATTGGCATGGAACCAACTTTGTCAAATATCTCAAACTAATCTTTATAAGATTATTACAGCTGATCCTTCAATAAATTCTTTACTTTCTCATTTTCAAACAACAACTGATAACATCTTCCTCGAACAGTTTGTACAAAATTAGCTTTTTGCAAAAGTGCAAGCCAACACATGTTTCGACTCATACCTATTGACTTCATAAGATTGCAAGCCAACACAATTTATTTTTAGTGGGAAGCGAATTTTTCAGGTATATTTCCTCGGCAGTAACAATTTCTAATAGTTAATACATGTTCTTTATATAAATGACACACTGAGACAGGCTTCACCCCACTCAACAGCCAGAGTCAAACCACACACATCAGAGCGCATGAAATATGCATGCAGAAATGAGACATGAACATTAGTACATGCATGGTTTTTCATCACTCATTATGATTTCATTAATTAAGAACCATCATTTATTTAGTTTATTTGCAGATCATAAGGTCGAGGATCCAGAGACTTGAAATAATGTCCATCATAAAAATGATGAACAAGCATCATTTTAGCCTTAGTTACTACAATGCCAAACTCCTGCAGTCAACTCCATTAGTGAAATTGACTGTTAATAAATCTCACTTTTTTTTCGGTGGAAGAGAACAGTAAACAAAGAGACAATCATGATTAAGCAAAATCAAGTCCACAAAAATAAGATCTCTTAACCAGGTCGTTACCTCTAAGGGTGAGGATTGACTGTTGGTTGTGTGTGGTTTAAAAAAAAATGAGAAAGAAAATTTTACCACGTTTCTTTCAGAAAATCTTTTACCATATTCTCCAGTGAAAGTAATTTTTCAAAATGAAGGTATATCCAAGAACACACCCTTATTGATGAGCAATCATACAAATACACTACAAACTAAATAAATCAAACAAAGACATACCCCGTGCTTTGTACCACTTGACCTAGAGTGGTAACTGCCACTTCACGTTTCATGGCAGCTGCACTATCTAATAAAGCTTCGACAATTAAGGGCATCAACTCTGGAATATACTGTCTCATTGCAAATCCACCCTGAACATGGAGATAGATAAACCATGGGTATTTGCATAAACAGTATCGAAAGTTAATTTGAAATACTAAAGACATGACTCACTCAATTAAAATATTTAATACATCAATATACCAATATAGATACGGTTGTAATAAAACTTCCATCAAACGAAAGAAAGGGAAGACAATATGTCCATACTGACACTTTTTTCCAGACTAAACCAACTAAACAGAAGTCCAAGGAACACTTACTACTCTGGTGAGATCTCCAACAGTTACCAGAACTCCAGTTATAATGCCGTTATTGACACTCACCCCAGTTCCCTCATTGAGTTTTGTAATGAGGGCCTGAAAAAAATAAAAAGATTAAAAAGTGAACAAAAATAATAAAATAAGTAGACAAACAAACACCAGATATTACATAGATACAAAACCTTGTGTATTGGAGAAATATACGGTAGTATCAATCTCTCACAATTACGAATTAAGCATCCCAACAATTTCGCACTTTCCTCTCTGCATTTGTTATCAGCACTGCCACCAAAAGTAGCAACGTCAATAACATACAGCAAAAGAAATACAGAAGAAAGCAAAGAATAATGTCAGCAGATTAACAATTTAAGTGGGTCAACAATACCTTTGTTTTAGGTAAGTTAACAATTGAATAAGATGGCGACGAAGAGCTGGAAGAACATATGCTGGATTCTTTGCAGATAGTCTTCCAGCCAGTGATATAGCAATTTCCCGAACTGCGAAATCCTAAAAGATAATAACAAAAGAGATGCTCAGCAAAAGAGTTCTTTACATGAAAGCAGTCCGGGTCATGCAAAGGTGAAATTTAATTTAACATACAACACATTTTTAAACAGGATAAACAAGGCTCAGCCTTATTCACTGCAGCATGCCTCAAAAAGTACACATTTGGAAGTGAGCTGACATGGTGGACAGAACGATTGTAGAGAGAGAAAGAGAGCAATACATCTTGACAAGTATCAAATAACATGGTCATAAAAAACTAATGCTAGTAACAATGTTTTATCTTTATCTGCCCGCAAAATAGCATCTTTCCAACAAAATTTCTTTCGGAAAGTGAAAAATTTAGATGGCTATATATATCCTTTTAAATGAAATGCAGAGAAGTTGAGATTAGTGCATCACCAATGGCATCGAATTATTTTTATCTCCACATAACTCCTTCCAAAGATGTTGCTCAAAAAGAGGGCCTTATGAATGAAGACAATGCATAATTCCAAAGCTTATTGCACATATCACTAGTGACTAGGACAATATTCAGAAACATAGATGATGACTATTAACCAATCATTTCTAACACCCATTTCCTGTTAGGGTAATCCCAATCGCTCAGGCAAAACAACCATGAAAAGTTGCATTAGAACACCATAAGATACAGGAACATTGTTTATCCAAATAATAAGCTAGAATACCTCATCATTTAAAGCAGCAAACATTGCTGTCAAACAATCGGCCTGCGCCAAATAATCATCGAATCCCCCAGTCTCATGCAAAGAAGAAAATATAGATAGTCGAACCGCAACATCAGCATCAGCAACAGCTGCAATGAGAAGTTTTTCCACAATCTACACAAGGAAATGACATTATAAACATTAGAAAGACGAAAGCAGATGAGACCAACAGAATCACTTATTACGTTAAGTGATTCCTATGACACAGAATGCAGAATGCAGAACCATTTTGCTTAGAGAACAGAGAAACGCATAAAAGATAATTATACTTGATCCAATTCATTTCACCAATAACTCATGAACATGCATGCTATATTTTAATGAAGATTTGATGCATCATGTCAAAAAAAGATATTAGATGGTAAACAAATAAACCATTCCCCAGAAGAAAGACCTCAGATTATCAATTTCTCATGCATGTATGTATTTATGCCACAATTATACAAGTATCAGAGATGTGAAAATAAGTTATAAGCACTAACGAGTTAAAAAGGGTTTTAGCAACAGGAAGTTAAGGCAATTTGCACAAAATCAAACCTCCTCAATGAGGCGACGCCTTCTTCCACCAGAGCGAGTTTTTCTATGAGAAGTAAACTGAACCGACAAGACGCCAAATAAGGAATTTTCCATTAGTTTGCAGCAACACAAGGCAGCATCTTTTCTTGTACCCCCATCATCATCTTCTAGATAGGGCACAACTAACTCTCTCGCGAACTCAAGAAGATCCCGATCCTGAAACAATAGCTTCTCATTTTGATAAGAAAATAAAAAACGAGCAAGATGCATAGCTGTTGGATAGTAAAAACTAAATCAAGCAAGAGTTTATAAAGCAAGTTGAACAAGAACATAACCACATAATACAAGGAAAAAAAGAAAAACCACAAGGTGAAAAAAGACGCGACCTTAAAATTGAAACGCGCAAGAGTCTGTAAAGCAAGTTGAACAAGAGCTGAACCATAGAGTTCTGATACTTGCAACATAGCCACTGAGCTAGCAGTCCGAGTAATGGCATTAGAAGGCCTTGACTGAACTTCTTGGTTTCGAGAAAAAACTCCAGAAATGCAATCAAGCAAGCGTTCTTGAATGGTCGGAAGCAAGGTTGGAATGCTGAGGAAAAAGAAAAAAAAAAAATGTTTTCTATCAATGCCTCACAATTCATCAAGACGAGCAGAATAAGCTGCATGCAGGATGTAAAGTGAAGACTGAAGACCTGGCAGTTATGTGCTCAAGGGCTTCCACTAAAGTGGAGGATAATCCAATAGAAAACATTGAATCCAGGAGACTTCGTACGTGAGGCTCCATAGAAGGTCCCATAGCTTTTGCAAGATTACCAACGCACGCTAAAGCCTCCATAGAGGGTTGCCCTCTACGAGGAGCAATCTATGAAGAAGCAAAGCCAAACCCAAAGAGTGTTATTCAGTGCTAAATATGTACCCATAAATACTATTCAGTGTAAACATTATATTAAAATTAATTTTTTGATGTAACTCATACAGCATCACGCAAGTGAGATGTTATTGTCGGCAAATAATTGAAGAGTTCACCATCCAATGCACCAGACATTTCCCCAAGAGCAATGAACCCGCTAGCAGCTTCCGCAGGTAGTTTAAGAACATGAAATATATGCTTCATGCAAATCTGTGAAAAAAAAAAAAAAAAACAAAAAACAAAATTTGTTGGCCAAACTGACAACATTCTCGAAATAATTCACACCACTGGGGCTAAAAATTTATTTACATGCAGAGGGGAAAGCAACTAACCGTCAGATAGTTCGTCACAAAACGGTCCCGTAGGAAATAGGCAATTCGAGGAAGCAAAGAAGTTATGCTGAGACGGACAAGCCGATCACGATGCTCTAGATACCGAAGGACAATCTCAGCAACTTCTCTATATCGAGACATCATGAACTCACCTGTATTCCTGTAAAAATGTAACATCTTCCGCAATAAGAACCCACTAATAAGCGAATACTATTAAACAAACCATAAACAAGCAAATTCTGATATTTTACCTAGTTTTTTTTTCCCTTTTGTGGTACAATGGGAGTAAACGAGTCGAGCCGAACTTGAGCTCATGTTGCTCGAGCTCGAGCGAGCTCGGCTCGGCTTGTTAACTCAACGAGCTTGTAATTGATTTCGAGCTCCGCTCGTTTATCAATATTAACGAGCCAAAATCGAGCTTTAACAAGCCAAACTATAGAAAATTCTAAAACAAAATCATTTTTTCGAGCCTTAACGAGCCTTATCGAGCCGAGCTTGGGTTAACCAAACGAGCTTTAAATGAGCTCGGCTCGGCTCGTTCATCAAAAAAAATCGAGCCGAGCTTAGGAGCAGCTCGTTTCATTTAACAGCAACATAACAGTATACCTAAGTACATAATGCCACCCTCAAGTACACCCATGACAAATGTTTAAAATATCCTACTATCTCGAACACAGTGGTAAAATAAGGTCTTTATGGGGATAGACACAATGTTAGGCATCGTGATGCTACACATCATGAAAACACAGGAAAAATGATTAGTCCAAATTAAAGGAAGTAAGGAACTTAAAATCATGTTTAGGGGAAAACCAAGCAAGAATTGCATCAAAAGCTCAACAAAAAATACCAACTTGTCAGTTGCCAGTGTATAATACTTCACATGACAATCTAAAGCAGGTTGAAAAAGTATCATCGAACCCACCTCAGCAGTTCCCCAACTGCAAGCAGAGAACCATGTATGCTATATACAGGAGCATTTCTTCCCAAACCATCTTGTGTAGCCTCAAACATACGATAATACCTGCCATCGACATCAGGCAGCAAATATTGTTCCAAAGTAAGATTAGCTGAGAAGGATTCAGAACAAAAGTCTTGAAAAAACTATAAATTATACATATAAAAGTTACAAACATAGAAACTAAATTTTACCTACTGTTTCACCAGAGGTTCATCTAATTCATTATCAATTCATTACAGCCCCAATTCATGTTTCACCAATTACTACAGCCCCAAAATCTTACTGAAAAGAACTTTTCACAAGAGAATGAATACTGATAATGTCAAAAGCTTTAAAATGTCTAACAGGATCGGTTGCAAAATCTGGAAGGGAGCACAAATCAATTAAGTGTTGAGAGTCAAAAATGTGAGGACGTTAAACATTTAGCCTCATGGATCATCAAGTAAGAAAATACCAAAGTCAAGATAACTTCAGAACTTTTAAACATATAAAATTCAACATCAGCAATCGGACCAAACAACAAAAATTCATGGTAGCATTCACAGCAAGATGCAGTAGACAGCAGAAAAAATAAAAAAATACAAGCCACATAATAAAAGCCAGACAAAGTAATAAGCACCAGAAATCACCATCGTATAAGACTGACACTCCACACTCTACAAACAGAAAAAACTAAAACGAAGTAAAGAAGAGTAGGTAGAAGAAAGAACCCAATGATAGGCCCATAGAGACATACACCTTAACAATGTCAACACCAAAGCAAGAACACCAGACCAACTTAATACAGAAGTTCACACAATACCTTCTAATAGCAACAGACGCAGTTATCTTACAGTATCCATTTTCAAATCTTATAACAAGGAAAAAGCAACTATTAAGTATTCCTACCGGTGATGAAGGACTCCTATTCAATGTCAACCTAAGGAAATTAATTCGAAACAACGAGCATGAGAGTAAAATTATTTTCTAATGTACTGCTAGTAATAACACCATAAAAACTACAATTACCACTGCACACGCCATCGAGTTTCACGCTTCTCTATGACCCAAAGGCAGGCACGCAATGCCTCCACAGCTCTCTCCCGAATGTTCAACTTTGGATCTCTCAGAGCAACCCAAATAGCTTCCACAAACTCAGGAACATGCACGTTGAAAACTGTTGAAGCATTCTCAGCCATTTCCTAGGACAAATAAGGAACTTTTTCAACAACCTCAAGGCATAAAGGACCAACAAATATCAACGAGAAAAAGTTCCAGAATTAAACTGCTAGGCCATTCAAAATCTTAATGTATAAGGATGTCTTTTAACTTCAATTTATCTTTGGTGAAGCAGATCAAGAAAGACCGGTAAGATATAAATAGAAAGCAAAATTATGAAATTACGGAACTCAAGCCATCATTGCTAGCTTAAACAGTCACTGAGTGGAACGACCAGGACGCCCACTGGATGCGTATTAATATCATTGGAGCTTAGTCATCAAAGTTATAGTTGCTTTCAAGCAAGATAGACTTTGGAACATATAGAAACCTATGAGGCTTTGTACAATAGTTTCCTCTTGCTTCACCAGATCAATTTTACGGAAGACTAAGATCGTTTAGCATTGTTTTATTTTCTACCTTTTTCTTACGTAAAGACCTTTTCATTTTGCTGACATGTGGTCAATGCTGAGGTCTTCAGCACTTTCTTATAGTATCATGCCCTGTTTTACCACAAGTCTATGAAAAGGAAAATAATTCGACTTTCCTAAAGCTGGTGACAATAATACTACACAAACCAGGTGTTTGACATCAAGCAACAAAAATACATTTAGAATTTTGNCACAATATGTGAGAAAAAAGGTGTATATAATAATAAATGGATGTTGAAACTTGAATAGTAATATAAAAGTTGACACAAGCAGAAATGAGTGTGAAGCAAACAAGAACTAAGCTTTTCCTTGTTTCTTTGAAAATGAATTCCATAATGCCTCTTTAGGTCAAAAAATGTGTTTGACTCAATCTGATCTTTAACGAAAGTTACGTAAAAGGCGTAGATCTTGTTGCGGCTGTAAGCTAACAGACTCGAAACACGATTAGGATAATCAAGTAGACCTGAAAAAGGTAACTTACTTTTAAAATTAAAACCGCAGCTAAACGCCGGTATTCAATTCTTTCCCCACCAAGCCAATCCAGTGCAATTTTTACCTGAAAAAGCATAGATCAACAGTAAAAAAAATTACCATCGTGCTGCTCAGGGGCATTAAAAGTTTAATGTACCAGCCGCTCCACTTCATCTGCTGTCATTGCTCCACCTGCCCTGGCTAAGTGCCCCAGAACTTTACTGGCAACTACCAACGTTTCAGGTTCACGTTTGGCCTCGAATGCTGTTCGCATGTAAGTTGCAATCTTTGAAACATTCACAGCATTCTCCTCGATTGCTACATCTATAAGCTCATCAATGGCCCTCAAAGCACCCAAATTTTCAGAAACATCATTGCTCTCCAAGAGACTCGTGATACGATCATACAGCTGATCCATAAAACGGGAGAATGCTTCACCGCTAAGGTCACGAGCTCCTTCTTCCACGTGTCTTCTCAACGCCAAAGCAGCCCCGTCCTGCAGATTAATTTAAGCTTGCAGTTGAAAGCAATAATAATAAACATCTAGTACAAACAATCTTAACAATTCAAATGACCATCACAAAAGGATTTGAGCATAAAATATTTCATAAACCGCCATGCACAAGGCTATCTTTTGATGTAGTAAAGACTGAACAACATCACCATAGATAAACACACCTAAACTCAAGCAATCGAAAATCAGTTCTTTCCTGCTGCAAGTGGTTTCGAAACACGCCGATTTAAAATGTCAAGAAAGCAAACGACAATAGAAATATGCAGTATCCTGCCTGTGCAATAAGTAGGACTCACAGCTGGCATTAGTTGCCTAAAACCCATTATTTCCGCAACTTATACGCCAACTCCAAACCACGTCGGAGGTCGGACCCACTACACCTAAAATGGGGCACGTGGGGCCCACAGTTTTTTTCCTTTTTTTCTTTTACGATTTATTGCTAATTCTTGAAATATAGGATTACTCGTGAACGCATTAATTATCTCTCGACGTAGTTTGGTGAATAAATTTATTTCATGCCAGTAGTGAAACGGCGTGACGACCTCTTGGATCCATCCATGATTCCTAAACAGCTAAATACCATCTTTGGCCAAAATAAAGCACAAATACATGCTATCATAAGATAAATGAAAAAATAAAAAATAACAAATAAAAATTACTTAAACAGATAAATTCAAACCTTGGGAATTCCGCGGGCACATAGGTCAGCCAGGACACGGTTGAGAGAATCCAAGTCGCCAGTGCCAGCAGCAGGTCCTGCTGGCATGTATCTTATCGATTGTGCAGTGGTGACCAGCGCCATGCTTTATTTATACAACTATACAGCAACACACATACAGCACATATATCTCAAAACCCTCGACGAACAAAAACAACCTGCAGAGATCCCTGCTATCAAGAGCTACAATCAAGAACAGCTCAGTGAATCTTCTTACTATCAGAAACCTAGTGATACCCATTACACAAGACTACATCTTTATCAAAACCCTAATAACAAAAACAAACAATGATCTTGCTACAGAAAACCAGTAGAATTTTTCGAAACAGGGCATAATCAATGGGGGAACAAAACACACATAAAAACACAGAGCAGAGCACGGGCTTCTCACAAACCTGGGCGAAATTCTTGATGCCAAATGCAAACCCAGTTTTTGCTTTCGAGATTTGATGGAGGAGGTGAATTTATGAGCATTTGCCTTGTAATATAAATCGAGAGATAGTGATAATCTGTTGTGTGTAATTTTTTGCTTTTGGAAAGTGTGAGCTTTGTGGGTTCGGAGTGTGTAGAGAGAGTTTTTTAGCGCTCTTCAAATTGGCAGCGGAAAAAGAAAACCATCTCAAATCCTATTTTTTTCTATTCCGATTTAATAAATTAGATAAATTGCCGTAATTTCCCTTTTATAGTCTCTCCTTTTCCCCGCGTTTTTGGAATGTATGTAATACTATTACCAATACAACATACAAGTATACATTTTTATACTTAAAATAATAAAAATATCTAGTTTTTTCAAAAAAAATCCGTAAATGTAATAAGTTTTTTAATTTAAAATGATATACATCAATCAATTGTATGGCTCGTTCGTCGTGAATTTGAAATTCTTATCTGAAAAGAGGTTTGATAGATAAAATTATTTAATTGACATAACATATTTACTAATTTTCAATTGCAGTTGATAGGAAATTTATTTCTTTTATAAATTAGATATTATTTTTTTGTTTTATATACGTAATATAATTTAATTAAAAATCGTAAAAAGATATTTAATTTGATATATCATATGTGAAAAAGTGATAAAAAATAAAAATAAAAAGTTATTATATTTTAAAATATTCTAATAACTTAAGAATTTTTATAACTTTAAATGTTGAAAGCCATGGATAAATATTTTGCATACGATTATTTTGATTTACCAATATTTTGTACATAGAATTTCAAAGTGCTAACTAATATTACAAAACATTGAAATTTGATATTGTATTCAGTTGAGATTTCAAGTGACATTTTGAAATTTTTTATTATTTGAGACTGTAAGATTTTTAGATTTTGGAGGAATTATGTGAAATCTTGAGTTTGAAGGTGGGATTATGTTCATATCAAAAAGCCTTATGAATTATAGACATTTTATTATCTTATCAAGGAGATCTTGATTTTGTAGACATTTTATGCTCGTGTCGTGGAGCTTCATATTTGACTTGTAGACATTTTATTTACGTGTCAAGAAGATCTTAATTTTGTAGACATTTTATGCTCGTGTCAAGGAGCTTTCGAGTTTGTAGACATTTTATGCTCGTGTCAAAGAGCTTTCATCGGTAGATATTTTATGCTCGTGACAATGAGTTCTATAGATAATTTAGGCTCATATCAAGAAGCATCGATGATTTGATAGAGCTCTTCATGTAAATTGCCCCATAGAATTTGAGAAGGATATGGAAGACCGTCTTTGTTTCTCCTCCATTCGGATGAAGGCTCCATTGGCTTGAGACGGTCCTCTCCTAAGAACGTTTGATTTACTGTACATTAATAAAGTTGTAATGCAATATCATTTATTTCACATAAATATGAATAAAATAATATATAAGTGTTCATAAATTCTTGAACATGTTGTCATAAATGCATTCTTAATATGATTATTTGAGTTTGAACTACATTACATTTATTGTAATAAAGTAATTTTATGGAATACCGCTTTTGTTTCTCCTCCATTCGGATGAAGGCTCCATTGGCTTGAGGAGACATCATCCTTAGTTGTCTCCTTGTACTTCTTCTTCTTCAAAGATGGCTCATATTTAATGTTCTTGTTAAGAAACCAACGCTGGTTAAAAGATGTGGAAAAAAACTTGAGCATGTTTGGATACAAAATTTTTCAAAAAAATCCAAACATTTTTAACTCAACCACTTTTTTAACTCAACTTTAACTCAACCCCACTATTATCAATATTATCAATATAATTAAATAATATCAATCAATCATTCTTACACACCACCTTACCTTAATTCACTATTCATCCACTCACATAATTTTAACTAACCATCACTTCAAATTTTCTCTCTCCTACTTTACATTAAATCAACTTTAATCATTTTATTTTAAATATTATTTAATATACCCACTAACAACTAACCATACCAACTTTTTCAAAATTAACCAAACCAAACAAAAAAATCCAAACAAAATCAAAATTTTTTAAATAATAATCCTGTTATTTTTTAGACTTAACATTGATTAAAACAGGTTAAAAATAGATAATAACCTTATTATTTTTTAGACTTAAACAGACAAGAGTGTAAAAATAACTTGTTTAATATCGTACGTCCTAGTTCTACATAAACAAACCATAGAAAAACAAAAAAATCATCGAAGTCAACCCGTCCAAAATCTTTGGCCACAATCCTCGAATCTTTCGCCGTGGTATATTGATCCAAAGTGCACACTGCACTGTATACGTGAAATCTACGCTTTTGTGTGCCACAAAATCTTGCGCAAATTAGTAGCCAAGAGCCCGCCAATCCTAAAATGCGCCGAGCGTGTGACCACTCCCACCCACACTCGGAGTTTCCCAATTCCAATCACAATTTGCTCAACCTAATTATCAAATTCGGAAAATTACTGAGAATATTGTGATTCGAAGTTGAGAAAATCGCTGTTTTTAGTACACAAANAAAATCGCGATGATGGCGTGCCTCCAGCTGCTGAAATCGACTCCGTCGGATAATCAGGCGAAATTCCGATGCCTCTGCTCGAGCTTCAGTTCCATGGCATCACGGAAAAGGAGCGCCAGGCTTCAGAATTCGGGGATGATAGCTGGTTGCAGGCGGTTTAGGATTTCATGTGAAGCTGATGACCGCAAAAAGCAAAGCAATGGTAAGTAGCTGGGTTTCTTTTTTCTATTGCTTGAATTTTATTTTTTGTAATCTTCTCAGTTCAGTTCTATAATGGAGATGTTTGTGTTGGCTGCATATGTAGGAAAAAAATTATTGATGATGGTGATTTTTTTTTCGAAATTTGATTATGAACTGCTCAATTCAATTTATTATGTCTGGATTTTGGAAGAAATTGATTATGAATTCCTTACGGCCCACCATGTGCTTTATTAGCATTGTAATTTATTTCAAGAATTTTGAAGTCGATTCTGTGTTGGGAAGGCACTTTTGTTGCGTGTGTGTTCGCAAAGTGCAGATTAGGGGTATGTTCTGAGATGTTGAATTTAATAGACCTATTTGTGAAAATTTATGTTCAAACTGAAAGAATGTGCAACTATGGTAAATCATGTTTCGTCTATTCAACAAGTGCTGGGTGAGGTTATATTAAAAGGTGCTTTGTATGGGATCATGTTAGAAGGCGCTTGAAGTAGTCCATTAAGATTACCTTTTCAAGCCTACTAACTTTGTTCAACTGTATCCTATGGAATGCGATATTAAAGCCCCAAATTTTCCTCCATGGATCTTTATTGCTGCTTGCTTAATCCAGGCGTTACGGATTATATGTACTGTTTGGTAGCATTAATCCATCTGTACCTTCTTGTCACCTTTTTTACTATAGCGGATTACCTCGATCTTCTTGCATTTGCATATGTTTCATCTAGGAGTATTTAGTTTGAACTATATATATATATATATATTTTTTTTTTTTTTTTTCTATCCTTAATTTTCTCCCAATTTATTCGATTGCTGATTTAGTTAAATGTGTTATAAAAACTTTGTGACTTAATAATGTTAGGTGAAGAACCCCCCGAGTCTTTATTCATGAGAGAACTAAGGAGACGAGGGATGACTCCGACTTCTTTGCTTGAAGAGAAATCGAGGGGCATCGAGAGAGATGAGGAGATTAAGTTCAGAGAAGGAGATGGAGATTCGAGTTACTCTTCAAGAAATGGGGTTGCTAATGATGCTGAAGCAAACATATCTGGTCAAAGGGAAAAGTCTATGGCCCTCAATAGCGAAGGTCTTGAGGTGAGAAGATTCAGTTTCTGATTGGCTGTATAGGCTAGTAGAACAAATTTTAGAATATGTGGCTTGGTTATTTTACTTAATTATTATTACTAACGGACCTGCTAATCAAATATTAGTTGTGCGTATGCATGGCATAGTATTTTTGAGTTGTTTGTCATTTTAGCCATAAGAAAGAGCGTTTGATATTAGCCTTTCATGCGTGTGCCCCAAAAACCTGTGCTAGTAAGCTCGAAAATATGTTGAAATCTCAGTTAGTGTGCTCTGCTGAATTGTAGTGTGTTAAAGGGAGTTTGCATAACTGATTACAGAATAATATCAATTTAGAATCAGTTTATTCATTCATTAAGTAAAAAAAAAAAAATGGAACTTCTGTTTATTTATGTGTTTCAGGGTTTGATTCCACGGGCCAAACTTCTGGTTACACTTGGAGGAACCTTTTTTCTGGCATTTTGGCCCTTGATTCTTGTGACTGTTGCGTTTTTCTCCGCTCTGTATCTGGTAATTCTTTTGGCTCGACCCTTGAAGTCGTTTTATCAATTTATGAAATTACTCTTCGCTCTAAATACTGTTTTCAGCCAGTAACGCTATTACCATTTCTGCAACTATTTATATTTCTAAATTTTGAATTTTTTTCCCTAAACTTTGCTGTTTTTTTTTCCTTGTGCAGTATTTTGGACCCGAATTTGTTCATGATGGAAGTGAAACCCCAATTACTCCACCCCTGTATGTCGACCCATATGAGCTTCTGGAAGAAGATAGAATATACAAAACAGCCCCTCTGTTGAACTGAGAGTGATAATAAGAAACACTTATTGTATAGTGAACATCATTCCCACTGTTTGATTAGTGATTTGTAAATGGGTTTGAGGACCAAAATATGTCATAGTTATGGATTGTTCTTCTCACGTAGAAATTTACCCTCAAAGAGTTGCTTTGTTGTGCATTGTTTTCTCAATGAGAAAACTTTAAGAAATGTTCTAGAAGAGTTGGGCACTAGCTAAGAAGCGGGTTGGAGCCTAGCGTCTAGGGCGCCTAGGCGGAGATTAAACTGTGCTTAGAAAAGTCGTAAAATTTTAATAAATTTATTTATAGTTATCACTCATCATATATAAGTTATAACTCACTTGGTAAGATATATAAAAATATACCAACTTAAAAGGTTAAATATAAAGATTATTCAAAATATATCATATTTATAACCATTTTATTAATTCTAACATGCTTTTTAGTTTTTAAATTTACAATTTTGGCGGCATCTGCCCCTAGGCTGCTTCATATTAACTTTGTAGCGGCATAATCCGCCTCAAGAGCTGTACGAGCGTCTGAAAAGGGTAGGCAGAAAATGGTGCCTAGATGAAAATCATGGCCGAAAAGGGCTGCCTAGATGAAAATCATGGCTTCCGCCTCCATTTTTAGAAATTAAGATGGCTTAATTACTAAGAATACCATGAGCTTTTTTAGGACAACGTAGGAGTGTGGATTAGCAGTTTAGTGGATGATATAAATTGTTCGATCTTCTGAGGCCATCTTCAGTCTTTATCTCAACTTTACTTTAGAATTTACTCTAGAGCAGAATGAACCAATAGTCAAGATTTGAACGGATGATATAAATTGTCGATCTTCTAAGGTCATTTCCAACCATTATCTCTATTTTAGTGTAAAATTACTCGACTCTAGAGTAAGATGAACCAAAAGTCAAGGTTGAACGCATCCATTTTTAGAAATTAAGATGGCTTAATTTCGATGCATACCATGAGCTTTTTTATGACAAACGTGGAGCGCAGATTAGCAATCACAGTGTATGATATAAATTGTTGAGCTTGTAAAGGCATCTTCAGCCCTTATCTCTATTCTAATACATAATTTATGACTCTAGATTAGAATGAACCAAAAGTCAAGGTTTCACTCTATATTTTATTCTACATCAATATTCACATTTTATTATCATTATTTTGAATTAATTTCAATATCAAAATATGGTTTAATGAGATATGTGATTGACAGAAATACAATTAAATGTAAAATTATTTATATC